CAAGTTTGTTTGTTTGTTTTTTTTGAGGCTATTGTAAATGAGGTAGCTTTCCTAGTTTGTCTTTCAGAGGATTTCTCACTGATGTACTGAAATGCCTTTGATTTATTGGTGTTGATATTATATCCTGCTACTTTGCTGAACTTATTTGTTCTATAAATTTTCTGGTGTATTTTTGGGATATTCTAGGTATAGAATTATCAGCAAATAGTGATAATTTGAGTTTTGCTTTTCCTATCCATATCCCTTTAATTTCTTTCCTCTGTCTGATTGCTCTGACTAGAGTTTCAAGGGCTATATTGAATAGAAGTGGTGAGAGAGGGAATCTCCCTATCTTGTTCCAGTTTTTAGAGGGAATGCTTTCAATTTTTCTCCATTTAGAATGATGTTGACCTGGGGCCTCTGTCACCTTCTATTCTATTGCCAATTTTCTTTTTTTACTTGCATTATGTTTTGAGATTCATGCATGGTAGATGCTTGTAATTATAGTCAGCCCATTTTAACTCATTCTGTATAATATCCTGTGACATGAAAAGAACTCTACCCTTTAGACTATTACCTGTAGAAGGACATTTATATTGCTTCTGGGGGTTTAATCTATTCTAAATAAAGCTGCTATCTCAGTACACGTGTGCAAGTTTCTTAAAGGAACATACCCTGTTGTTAAACAGGTGGTCAAAGAGTAAGTGAACATAACTTGTTATGATACAATGCCAATTTCCCAAAGTCATCATACCATTGTCCTATAACCTCAGTAACAGGCAATATAAGCAGCCTTTTAATTTTTTGCCAACTCAGTGGATGAGACATTACATCCTATTGTTTTATTGTATTTCCCTGATAGCCAATGAGATTGAAGACTATTTCATGTGTTTATCTATCAATTGTCTTCCTTTTTTGGGGGGTGGGGACAGGACCTCCACTATTGATCACTTTCTCTCCAGCATCCAAGGTCAAGCCTGGTGCATAGACAATTCTCAGAATACATGAATGTGTAAATTCTGAAAACAATAGAAATGGACATTATCACTTCTATGAAGGCTATTTTTTAATATTAATAACTTTAGAAATTATATTGAATGCTGAAAAGTTGTCTTTTCTATGGAATTTCTGCTAATAGATTCTGCTTATTTTTCTAATAAGCAGTTTTGCTTATTCCTTATATATTCTGTATGCTAATATTTTATGAGATATACATATGGAAAATACTTTCTGGCAATGTGAGAATTGTATTTTCACTTTGATATGATGTATTTTGATGAGTTGAAATAGTTCTTTAGGGGCTGGGGTTGTGGCTCAGTGGTAGAGCACTTGCCTAGCACATGTGAGGTACTGGGTTTGATCCTCAGCACCACATAAAAATAAATAATGGTATTGTGTTAATGTACAGCTAAAAATATGTTTACAAAAGAAATAGTTCTTTTAATGTGGTGCTGTTTTGCAATAATTTCCTTTATGTTAGTGTTTTTGGTGTCTAAGAAACCCTTTTCAATGGTAATCCCAGTGGCTTGGGAGGCTGACACAGGAGGATCTCGAGTTCAAAGCCAGCCTCAGCAAAAGTGAGGCACTAAGCATCTCAGTAAGAGCCTGTCTCCAAATAAAATTCAAAATAGGGCTGGGGATGTGGCTCAGTGGTTTAGTGCCCCTGAGTTCAATTCCCAGTACCCACCCCCCCCAAAAAGAAATCCTTTTCTACCTCAAAGTCATAAACGAATTCTACTATATTGTCTTCTATAAGTTTTGTAGTTTAGCCTTTCACATTTAAATCATTAAGCTACTTGAAAATTACTTTGTGGTATAAGGTAGAGTCCAATTTCATTTTTTCATATTATATAAATACATAATTTTCCATTCATGAACTTTGAACTGAACTTCTGTGCCTAAAGGCAGTTCTAGGAATGCAGGAAAGCAAATAGTTGCCATAAATTCCAAGAAGCAATAAATTCCATGGAGCTAAACCAGATTTTGAACAATGACCACCTTGCCCTGGAAGCCGGCCAACCATAAAAAAGCATAGGAATGTTGAAAAAAGATAAACTCTGTGAGCATCCATTCTCTGAGTCAGCTGCCTTGCCCTCTAGTATTTTTCCATTCTTGAGCTTTGCCTCAGCAAACACTTTAAATTTTGCTCTCTTCAGTTCTTCCAACTATGGTAGTTTAGATAAAATTGATTGCTTTACCTCTAGCTAGTCTCAGTTTCTGTTTTGAGGTGAGTTGATTGCTTCTTGACTCATTGCTAATGATATCTGTTGGTATCATTATCTACAGACATTGTCCATGTAAAATTTTTATATTGTCCTATAGATTTAGTGCAATTCTGATGTGGTGCTGTCAAAAGGTATATTTGTTTTGTGGAATTTGCCAGATAATTTCAAAGTTTGTGTGGAGTTGTAATGACCAAGAATAAAACCAAAGGAATTTAGACCAGGAGTGTGATAAAGGCACAGAACATAATCAATGAAAAAGTCATACTGCCCAGTACCACTTAGTGACAGTCTTTCCTTTCCTTTCTCTCATTAAGTGTCTGATTTGTTTCCAGTCTGTCTCTCTTGTTTCATTAACAATTTTAGGGGAATGGACATCTAAAAGAAATTAAGTGTTCCAAGTCATGAACATTGATTTATCTCTTCATTACTAGCTCTTCTTTAATAGATTTTAATAGAGTTCTATAATTGTCTCCATAAAATACATATATATAGTTCATTTATTCCCAGATATTTGATAGTTTTAGATGCCATAATAAAGTGATATCCTTTAAAGTTATATGTGTGTTGGTTGTTGGTGCATAGAAATGCAATTGATTTCTATATAATGATGAGTCAGCAACCTTATAATAATGTTTATTAATTTTAATGATTAATCTCTATTTTATAAGATCTTACATAGACAATAATATATCCATATAATGAAAACTTCTTCTTTCTTCCCAGTATATCTCCATTACATGTTTTTATTAGTGCATTCTAGTTATACATAATAATGTTCATTTTGACATTCATATAAATGAATATGATATAATTTGATCTATTTAAATTCCCAGTTTTTCCCTTTTCCTGCTCTCCTCTTTTTTTTTCCTGGGCCCCTTCCTTTATTGCTCTGACTTTCTGTTTATTTATTTATTGTCTTTTTAATTGGTGCATTTTAGTTATATGAAACCATGGGGTTCATTGTGATATATTTACACACGACCATAGCACAGTTTGCTCAATTTCATTTCACAGTTCCTCCTTTTCTCCATCTTTCCTTCCTCTCCCTTGACCCCCTACTTCTACTCCAGTCTTATTTCTCCTTTTTCTTCCCCTTAGTCTTGGAGATTGAACTCAAGGATGCTTTACTACTGAGCTACAGCCTCAGTCCTTTTTTTTTTTTTTTTTATTTTGAGACTGGGTCTTGCTAAGTTGCTGAGGTGGACCTAAAGTTGAGATCCTCATGCCTTAGCCCCCTGAGTTGCTGGGATCATAAGTGTGCATCATCACCCCTGGTTCCACTATCATTCCCTCTATTTTCATGATATCCCCTTTTAGGGTCAATATGCCAACATATTGGTGCAGACACCAAGTTCCTTAATAAGGCTTCTAAAACTCAAGAAATAAAACCAGAATCAGTAATTGAGACAGCCTTGAATCAAAAAATTTCCACACAACAGAGGAAACAAGAGCAGGAAGAGAACCTATAGAATGGAAGAAATTATTTGGCTGCTACTCTTATGAAAAGGGATTAATGTCTAGAATATATCAACAAGTAAAATAATCAACAAACTGGGTGTGGTGGCACTTGCCTGTAATCCCAGTGGCTTGGGAGACTGAAGCAAGAGGATTGATTGCAAGTTGAAAGCCAGTGTCAGCAACTTAGTGAGGCCTTGTGTCAAAATGATAATTTAAAAAGGCTGGGGATGTGACTGTGCGGTTGATTGTCCCTGGGTTCAAACTATGGTTCCCCTACCCCTCAAAAAAGACATATGGAAAAAATGGTTATTGAGGCATCTTTGTGTTGTTCAAAATATTAAAGGAAATACATTTGAGTTTTCTCCAGTTAAGTAAATACAAATAGATTGTTAAAAATGACTTAAAAATGAAGTTGAAACATTGTTTCTATACCTAGTTTATTGTTTTTATTTAATAATGAGTTACATTGAATACTTTTTACCTGTAGTGAGTTTTCCCATTAACATGGCAAATTGAGGCTATATGTATATTCACACACACACACACACACACAGACACACACACACACACACACACATACATTTTCTTCAGAAAGCCTTTCACCAGTGTGACTGCAGTTTTAGTTTCTCCTAGGCATTGGGGTACAAAGGGATCCTCTTTTAAGATTCTCAAAGAATGTGTGCTCCCTCTGCTTTTTTTTCCTTAAAAATTTTGTGGCATTCATATTTTATTTCTTATTCACAAGATAAGTAAAACCTGTTTGTTCTTGAGGGTAATCAAATCTTTCATCACTGAACAGTATACAGCGATGAAAAAGACAAGTGTTTCAAGAGCACAGGAGCCTAAAGGCATTTTGTAATGTCCAAACCTTGAAGTACGCATTGGCCCTGTTGTACCCGCATCCATTTATCTGAACAGCCCGAAGTTTGTCAACCTCCTACATTCTTCAAGCTTCAATAAGCGGCTGATTACAGCTTCACGCGCTTTCGTGAATGTACAAATCGCTCCTTGGGATCACCTCCCCCAGGAGCTGGGGGTCTGAGACCTTGTGGTTCAGGTGGGTTAAAAAAAGAGGATACGTATATATTTCCTATTACTGCTGGACAACGCACGGACTGCGTGCTCAACCAGTAGGAGTTTGGGGGCCACTGCCCATTCTGGTCATGCTTTGCAGTGGGAGACCTTGGGCATACTTGTGCCTCCTTATGGCTTTTTTTGCGTTCTCCAGGGGCTGGGCGCCTCGGAGGCCAAGGCGTGGGAAGGCTTAGGGGCGGAGCGAAGGTGGGGTTGGGCGGAGCGTGGGCGGAGCTCCTCCTTTGCCCTCCCTGCTGTCAGCCTGCAGTGTGGTGAAGGGCGCAGTCGCGCCGCCGCGTCCCTGCCGCCTCCGCCACCCCGCAGGCCCCAGGTTCCCCACTACTGTTGTTGCCTGGTCCCACGTCCCGGTGTCCCCGCTTCTGTGGGATGACGCTCAAGTCGAGTGAGGGCGAGGGTGGGGGCAGTATGCGCACGGCGCTGTCTGACCTCTACCTGGAGCACTTGCTGCAGAAGCGCAGCCGGCCGGAGGTGAGCGGGCCCCTCGGGTCCCCAGGGTGCGGGGCTGCGGCTCGGCTTCAGGCCTGGACATCCGCCGCGGGATTTTCCCCACTTACGTCCGTATCTCTGTATGGTTTGATCTTGGGTGTCCTGGACCCTGGGAGGAGGCCTCAGCAGTCAGCAGGGTGGGGGAACCCAGAGAGCTCTTGGCCAGGTTCCTGCTGGGCTCAGGGTGCGGTGGATCCTTGCCCACAGCAGCCCTTCTAGGTGGAAATCAGGAGAGGCCGCAGCCAGGGCAGAGCAATTATTAAGGTCAAGGAAAACTTCCTCGTGGACGGAAATGAGTAACAGAAAGACTTAAAGGAACACATCCAAGAGTAGGTCTGCCAGGTTTTTGGAGTGCTTGTGTTTGGGTCAACAGACATGCTTGTAAAAGCCAACTTCTAGCTCTAAAGAGCTCATTCACTGTTCCTTTGCGTTTAGGCAGTTTCCTTCTGCTAGGTGCAAATGGGGTGGCCTCTGTGTATGGATGGAACAAGGAATCCTAACATTTTGAAGGTCATTCTGGCAATGATATAACAGGGATGGCTGGTTAAAAAAAAAGAAGAAGAAAAAAAGAAAAGCTGTTAACCTCTGCTCTCCAAAAGGCCCTCAGAGGAGGTTGTATTTCTCTGTTGTGTAGCAGGTGTTCCCCAAACTCAGTAAGGTACAGCACTGAGCCACCTTCCCCTCCTGGACAGGACTGGAACCCTGCTCCTCACACTCTGTACTCACTTCATTTGAGAGATTTCTGAAAGTGCTTTGGATACAGCAAAGCTGGCATTTGTAGTGGACCCATACAGATACTAAACAATACCCATTGTCTAGACAGAATATTCAAAGATGATGACAAGTGCTATGAAGAAAAAATGAAGCAGAAAAGGTATCACAAGGAAGGTGACTTTTTAGCAAAAACCTATTATGTGTTTTTCCCACATGTATTTATTTATATGAAGGAAAAAAAGAAAAATTGAAGAACAAGAAGACTCTGTATTACAAAAGTTATATTCTGGTTCCTTAATTCAGAGACTTTATTTCCTCTTCCTAATGTGTGGCATCACTTCCTCTCTCCCCAGCCAATTTTGGAAATAGTTATTTAATCTTGCCTTTCTGTACTCCACACCCAAAGTCTCTTTTTAGTAACACTGAAAGATTACAGTAATTCATTGCTCAGGGAAAACCTGTACATGAGTGATAAGTCAACTGAATTTTTTCCTCCCATGCTGACAATTCCTCAAGACATTTTTGATTGTCACAACTAAGGGGGTATTACTTTTCACAGCAAAGAATTATAAGACCCAAAATATCAATAGTGCTGAGGGGAATATCTGTTCCTTATGTTCTAGTTCAGTGTCTTATCTAGGGAGAACAGATGAGGTACAAAACAACAGAAGTTATGTGATAAAACTTTTATCTATTTGGCCCTTAGTGATCATAATAAAACCAGATCCTATCTGCAAAGTATACTGTCTTTTTAGTCTTGAAAAAAAAAGTCTTAAAGATCCTGAAAGTGAAGGACAGGGAACAAGGTAGACTGACAGATCCTACCACATACAGGGAAAATTGGAGAGAGGAGTAAATAATTTGAAATTTTTATTTTCTAGTATTCATTCTGTGAAAACAAAAACCTGGAATGGAAATAGCCCCTTCTCAAATAAAGCAATTAGATTCATGCAAAAGTTCTTTCTCAGAAAAAATAATAAATAATTAGGAGCAGACTCACTGATCATGCACCTCACAGACAGGCAAGACAGCTTCCTGCCATGGCAAAATGTGCTGCATTGAGCAAGAACCCTTGTGTCTTTGCACAGGCTGTTCCCTCTACTGGGAGTGCTTTTTGCCCATTCATCCTGGATAATGCAAAATCCAGGCTTCAGCGGTGCTGGGCACCCCTCACTGCTCTACAGAACTCTATGCCTCCTGCCTCCTTCGGAGGAAACATCTGCAGCAGGGTTCAAAGGGCAGAGACAGTTGCTCAAAGGAAGTTAGAATCAAAAAAGAGATTAAAAACAAACTTGGCTTGGGGTCGGTGGTGGTACAGTGAATAGAGCAGGGGCAACTAAAGTTGGATTCCTCATCCAGACAGTTGACTTAAGAGCAAGTGACAGTTTACCAGTGACCATTGGATAGAACAAACATTTTTTCAGCCCACTGTTAGATTCTTTGCCAGCTGCTTCCACATGGAGAATTAGAAGGCCCAGTCCAAAACAGCAAGGGGATATCATAAACAGCAGACTCTGGGGCTGCCCAACAACACCTGCCCGCCTGTCATACAGGCCTTGGGCCCAGGTGCCAGAAATATCCGGTCTTCATATGGGCAATATCCTGTTACACTTTGGGAAAAAACAAGAGAAACTATGAGGAAACCAATAGTACTCCAAGGAATTAGAAAGACATTAACACTGTTTAACCACAAATGATAAGTACTGGGGAGAGAAGGAGGCCTAAGAGCCAGAATTTTCTGGCATGTACTATGTTAAAGTCATACATTAACTAGGTGCTTTGTTTCTCAAGCACTAAATTCATCTGAGAACACATACATCAGTCCAAAGACCAAGTGTCTAAAGATCCTTTTCCAATGTGCTTCATCTATCCAGTGCAGTCTGTACATGTACAAATGCTTCTCCTTCCACTGAAGAAAAATAGGAAGCCTAAATACCACCATTCCACAAACAAGAACACATCTAGATACCTAGCCTGAGTTCCCATGATAACATTAAGCCAGTGCTGGATTTTGTGTGCAGTAACATCACTCATTAAATTAAATTCTTATTTCCACTTTGTGATCAATATTTGGAAGCATAAAATGCCTTAGAAAACTGTTTGAGCTTTCAGGGTTAGTAAGTCTCTGGCTCCAGGAATTAAACTATAAGCACAGACTTCAAAGTTTGTGAGGGTTCAAGGAGAGAATATGATGCAGGAACCCACCAAGCCAGGAATCACAGGTGAATCATTATAAATGCTTCATTAATGGTACATTCCAGGTATATGGTGAATTTCCAGAATTTGTGGCCACCTGTGTATATACTATGGTTGCTAACATACATAAATAATAGTTGCTGATTAACTGATAGAGTTCATTTGTAAGTTTGGTTTTTAGCTTTTTCAGCCCCACAATTACTATCGATAAGAGGATATAAACCAGAATCCTCGATTCTATTCCATTGACCTGTGTGTCTATACCATCTGGTCTTTACTGAACCATAGAAAAATCTTAAAACTGCAGACTAATTCTTCACTTTAGCTATTCACAGGCCTGTGGCTTTTTCTTCACATGGTTTTTAAAAGGTCAAGTCATCCAGAGGTACTTTTAGTCTAACTTACATGGATCAGGTGAGTGAAACCATTTGTGTATAAGGAAAATAACATTCCAGGTGCAAGGTTACTGCAGCCGACACCAGTCTCTGGACTAACCAGCAGTGCAGAACATGAGAACTGGGCCAGGTGGAGAATTGGAGTCTCCTGATTTTTACTAAACAAAATAAAGACACACTGTCAAAATAAAACAGATTTATGGCCCATCAGTTTACAACTTCTGCTTTCTTGGAACTTTATACATTTATTCCTTGATGTGTTGTTCAACCAGTGCAGATACTACCTCTTGGAACTCTCCATTTTTAAGGGGAGAAGATTACTGGCCCCTTCCCTTTATTTTTTTTTAATGATTTCTCCTCTTTATCATGTGTATGAATGTCTTAATATTTCCATGGTGCTGACATTTATAATCTGTTCTCTATAATTGTTTCAGGATTAAATTTAAAAAGTGAAAATCAGTAAACAGTGTTTATATTATTATACTTGATTGCCAACCCAACATCCCACTTCTCACGTACAGATCCCTGATCTTGTTTGGGATGTAAAGTATCCAACTAAATTCTTATTTTTCTAGTCCCTTTTGCAATGTAGGATGGTCCCCATTGATTCAAAAGGAGATATCCACTGGGGAGGTTTTGGGATCCACCTGCCTCAGCCTCCTGAACCACTAGGATTATAGGTGTGTGCCACCACACCCAACTTTTACTAATTTCTATCTAATGCAAACACAGTTCATAATCTGGGAAACAATTTTCTTCTCACACCATCCTGTAAGTCCCCAATTCATTTCCTTAAAAGCAACCACCATTTCTTATGTCTCCTTTTAGAGTTGTCATTCATAAGCATATATGAATATATTCATTTTCACTTTTTATTCTGATGCTGGAATACTTTTTCTTACATTGTTTTTTTCAGTGCTACATGGTGCCCCCCTCATATAGTGCTAAATGTATGATTGAGTCATGTACTGAAGAGTACCTTGGAGTTATGTGAAGTTCTGTGCTTCCAGCTAGCCTAAGTCAATTTTCAAATTTTGTTATGAGAGCAATGCCATATGACTTTGTGTCATGTGAGGGATTTTTTAAGTTGTAGTTACTAGATGAGGCAGTTTTTCTTTCTCAGTAACTTCCCTCATTTGAGGTCACCCAATAAGTAACACTATTTCAAACCTCACCATCTTATCAGAGTTTCTACTTACCCCTTAGAAATAAAGCTTAAAATCAAAATTAAAAGGTTATATTTCACAAAGAGTACCCGTATGTTATGAGACATATGTTTATCCAAAAGCCTCTGCCTCAGATCTCCTTATCTCCCATCTTCCTGTCCTTTTTCCTCTGAGCTCATAAGTACACCATTGGATCCACTTTCAGTTTGTACCCACAAACTAAACTATCACATCTATGTCACTTTTGTAGCCCAGGACTATTTCTCATTCTTTAGTAGGACATATTGTTTTTTCTTCTTTTATTTGTTTATTTATTTTTGGTGCTGGATATTGAACCCAGCACCTTGTGCATGTGAGGCCAACTGAGCTACATCCCCAGCCCAGCCATATTGTTTTGGATTTAATATTTCACCTGCAGGTGGAAGTATAAACGGGGAAAATCACAAAGTACCATTGGATGAGTTTTAGCAAATGCTTCCTGTGAAATCCATCCCCCATTATGATATAGAATATTACCAGCATTCTAATTCTGATGTTTCCTGGGTTTCTACTTAGTATCCTCTGTCTTTTTCATTTTAGCCATCCTAGTGGGGGTGTGGTATGCCATTGTAATTTTAATTTAATTTATATTCCCCTGATTACAGTGAAGGTGAACACTTTTTCATGTGTTTGTCAGCTGTTCATGTGTCTTATTCGATTACAAATCTGTTCATATGTCTTGCCTATCTTTTCACTTAGTTGTCATCTTATTATTGAATTATGTTGCCCATGCTGGTCTCAAACGCCTGGCCTCAAGTGATCATCTTGCCTCAGCATCCCAGTAGCTGGGACTGCAGGTGTGCCATGCTGGGCTTTTCTTTGTCTTTTGAAGAGAGATTTTAGGCTTAATTAAGTCAATTGCTTACATCTGTGATTATTGCCTCCCATGTCTTGTCCATGTACTACTTTGCCTACCTAAGTGGAGTTTTTGATGAACAGGCGCCTTAATCATAAACTCTTTTTATCTTTTTAGTTTTCATCTTATAGTTAGTACCTTTTATGTCATATATAAGACTTCCTTTTACCTACTTCACAATTAGGGAAATGTTTTCTTCTCAGAGCTTGATTGTTTTACCTTTCACATTTAGGTCTAAATCCATCTGTAATTGTATTTTGTCTGTAAAATTAGGAGGGACCAATATTTATTTTTCTTTATGCTTATATGATTGACCCAGTACCATTTATCATGCAGAAAAGAGACCAACTGGGGCTTGGACTCATTAATGTGCCTATCACTGGAGAGGTAATTATTGTTTAGAATGGGAACAAACATTGTCATCTGTGTTCACTTTTCTCTCTGCACTTGTCCTTTTCTGCCTCTCCTGTCATGAATTAATTTAGATCCACTCTCAATGTTTGCTATGCAGTGTATGTACATGTGTATACCATATTGGAAAGCTAAACCTTGGGGCCTGAAGTGCTTCTGGATTCAGAAGTTTTTTTTGTTGTTTTTTTTTTAATGTATCAATAGAGTTTTGTTTATTTGTTTCTACGTGGTGCTGAGAATCAAACCCAGTGCCTCACACATGCTAGGCAAGTGCTCTACCACTGAGCCACAGTCCCACCTGAATACATTCAGAAGTTTTTGAAAAATATATATCCATATCCATATATAACATGGATATATATATATATATATATATATATATATATATATATATATATATTAATACTCCCAGCAAGGTCTATGGGAGCACCCTGTAAATCAAACATGTTAATATGTCTATAGCAGTCTAGTTAAACATGTATGTTCATTTGGATAAATCAAGCTTACAAACAGCTTCTCATTGATTCAAATGAGATTGGATGCTAAACTTAAGAAACAACTGAGTTTTCAGAGCCTTTTGGATTTTAGGATTGTGGATTATGGACTGAGCATATGGGCCTTTGCTCCTTACTTCATGCACTACTCTGTTGTTTTGACTTTATAGACTGTGTCAAACCAGTTGAATGCCGTAACTGAGGATATGTACACCAACGGGTCTGCTGCCCCAGGTAGCCCTGCCCAGGCCAAGGGACAAGAGGTGCGGAAAGTGCGTCTCATACAGTTTGAGAAGGTCACAGAGGAGCCCATGGTAATCTGTTATCATATTATCACCTGCTACTTACTCTCCACTGTATGTCACTGGGCCGCAAGAGTTAAGGCAGCCAAGAAAAATGTGGGAAAAACTCCTCAGAAAAGAAAAAAAAAAAGAATTATTGCATAAGGCTACTCATGAAGTTAGGAAACCAGCCAACTCCACTATTGTGTCTCATTGTCCCCATCTAAAGTTCCTCTCAAAGTAGGCTTTCTGCCCATTCTAGTAGAGGACTGTTCTGGATATAGATGGGAAAAAAAATTCCTAAAAAATTGCCTTAAGCTGTTTTAAAGATAGCTTAAAATGAAGTTGACTGTGTCATTTCCTATATTTCAGGGGATCACTCTAAAGCTGAATGAAAAGCAGTCCTGCACTGTTGCCAGAATCCTTCATGGAGGCATGATTCATAGACAAGGTACTTTGTGGGGTCCTTGGTCACGTTTTAAGCCAGGATTAATCATTTATCCCCTGTTCAGTGGTAGGGGACATGAAGCCTATGATCTTCAAAAGTGATAACATTTTTGTGACTGTGCCAAGAAAATTTTTCTGGCTTAATAACTAGTTCTTTAGAAAATCTTAGTATGAATTGCCTACTGCCACCATTTCTCCCTCTGAGCCTTCTGATACATGTTTTTATATTTGATATTTTCCCAGGTAGTTAACATTTAAGCCATTACTATATGCCACTCATTGTTTATGATTTGAATATACAGCAGTGAAGAAAACAGATCATCTCTATTCTCCTGCAGTTAACAGTTTAACTGAGAAAGCAGATATTAAATAAATAATAATTAAGTATTGTGTTTCCTTAAGATTAAAGTGCATTCAATTTTCAGATACATCATTTGGTAAAACCAACCTCAGGGACTGATGAAAGAAAAGAATAATATGCTAAAATACAGCACGTTTTCAGCAGCTAATGATAACCTGTATTTGGCCATCTGATCCATTCCATACTTTGAATGCTGCCTGGAAGTTTCCTATCTAATGAACAATTAGCCTTTTATGTTTAGCTGAGCTTTGTTTTTTATCCAGGGTGACACCAATATAGATAACTACTCTTCACATAGACGGACTTTTAACTAAACAATAAGTTTTTTTGCCTTGCTTTGTTATTCTTTTTAGTATATGCATGTGTGTCAGGGTCTCCTGAAGTCAGTAGCCATTATAGTTCCAGGAATTTGAGAACAAGGTACTTTTATTCAGCTCTTGAAAGACTTAGGTCAAGGAGAATAAGATAGTCTTGAATTGTTGAGCAACCTGATACATCCCTTGGGGATTCAATAGGACATCTCTCATGGTTGGAAGTTTTTAATCCTGAGTATTTTACACAATCTACTTTAAAACATGCTCTAGATAATGATTTCTCTTTTTTTGTTATCTTGAATTGTATTGACAGCTGTTGTTTGAAACTCTATTCTGTGCATTGATTGTATGTTTCATGGCAGGCTCTCTTCATGTGGGAGATGAGATCCTAGAAATCAATGGCACAAATGTGACTAATCACTCAGTAGATCAGCTGCAAAAGGCAATGGTAGGTATTTTCCGTGCTAGAAGAAGATTTTTCATGGTCCTCATGAAGTGTTGAAGCATACTGATATCAATACACCTCATTTCTCTGCCAGAATCTCTGTACCTTATTGAGGAAGCTATTATCTTTTCCAATCTTTGTTCTTACAAGAAATGACATTTCTTTGCTACCATTTAGTAAAAACTCTAAAGCAGCACAAATAACCCAGAGCATCAATCTGGTATGATGGAAAGAACATTGCACTTTAATGGCAGCTCTGAATCCCAACCTTAGTTTTTTCTGGCTCTGTGACTTTGAGCAAGTGAATGAACTTCTCTGAAGTCTTCATTTCCTCGTCTGCAAAACAAGGAAACAAAGATCCATTATGAAGAGAGAAAGGAATATTATAAATGAAAAGTTGAGAGCTGGGGTTGTGGCTCAGTGGTAGAGTGCTTGCCTAGAACATGTGAGACACTGGGTTCGATTCTCAGCACCACATAAAAATAAATAAATAAATTAAAGATATTATGTCCATCTATAACTAAAAAAAAGAAAAATTGAGCGTGATGTTTATATTCAGCACTTATTATATGCAGCATTGTACTTGATGTTTGCTCACCATCATGTTTGCTCCTCCTGATTTTTTGCCATCTTTCTCTACTCTTCCTTGGGCCTCTAATAACTACATCAGTTGGGCTCCAATGGGCTCAGCAAAAAGTTAGACAATAAGAGAGAAAGGAATATTATAAATAATGAGGGTACTTATATCTCCACCTATTCCCTATGAGACCATTTTGGTGAAAGCCTCTTCTCTCCTGTATGTACAGCTTTTGGTAACTACCATTCTACTCTGGACTTCTATGAATTTTTTTTTTATATTTCATATATAAATAAGTTCATTTGTTGTTTATATATATATTTATATTTTGATTTTTACAGAACAGAATCCCTTGGTGAAAATATAGAATCAAATAGTATGAATGTAATGTCCTCCTAGTTCATTCAGGATAGCTATTATTATTTGCATCCATTGAATTATAGCAATTTCATTCCCACCAGGAATATATGACAGTCTTTTATCCCCAAATTCTTGCCAGAATTACATATTAACATTTCTTTTTAATTTTAACTTCTGTCTCCATTACCAGGAGGACATTATGTGGAAGTAGAGATCAAAATGATAGTTACCAAAAGCTGGGTTTGGAGAGGATAATGAGGAGAAGTTGTTCAAAGAATACAAAATTCCAGGTAGACAGGAAGAATTAATTCAAGAGATATACTGTACAACATGGTGACTATAGTTAATAACAATGAATCATATTCTTGAAAATTTCTAAGAGAGTAGATTTTAAGTGTTCTCACCCCCCCCGAAAAAGAGGTAATATGTGTGTTAATTCACCCTATTCTTTCTACAATCTATTACATATTTCAAAATAACATGCTGTATATATAAGTATATAAGTATGATTTTTGTCAAATTGAAAGAAAGTGAGAAAAAGTAACAGATATTCAACATTAGTTATGATAACAACTTATAATTTAAAGAAACCATGAACTACTGTCCATCTATTGGATTGACAGAAATGAAAAAGAAATGTCTAATATGTAATTCTGGGAAGAATTTGATGGATAAAGGACTCTCATATCCTCCTTGTGGGAATGTAATTGTTATAATCTTTTAGAAAAGTAATCTGAGGACAGTTATTAAAACTCAAAATGTTGGGCCGGGGTTGTGGCTCAGTGGTAGAGTGCTCACCTAGCACGTGCGAAGCCCTGGGTTCAATCCTCAGCACCACATATAAATAAATAAATAAAATAAAGGTATTGTGTCCAATTACAACTAAAAATAAATATTAAAAACTCAAAATGTTCATACCATTTCATTCTACATTTCCACCAAGGGATTCTGTTCCATAAAAATCAAAATATCAATATCTAAGCATATATGTTCAAGAATGTCTGATGTGGTAGATTATATGAAAAAGCTGGTAACAATCTGCTTGCTTACTGATGGGAGTGAAAACTGCATAAACTGTGATGCATCTCAAATGTGGAATGCTACAGAGCCATGAAAAATAATGAGTGAGGGCCTCCTGCAGTAACCTAAAAGTATATTCCTGAAGTGATGCCAGAATAAAGCAAGTTATAGAATAATGTAAATATTTGTAATGCTATCATCATTGGTGTGGGGAAAGATGTGGATATATGTGTGCCAGGACTCATTTTAGGAATTTCCAGGGATCCCTTGATAGTCAAGAGAGCAGGGAAAGTCATCAGCTTTTTCTTCATTACTGTTTGTATGTCTTTTTCCAGGACAAGTCCTCCTGTAACAAAAAAAACTGTCATGTACCCCATAATGTAGTAGAAATATAGCTGTTGGTGGAAAATCCTGAGGCTTTGAGAGGGAAAATAACTTTATAGAACCCAGAATCATGCAAGTCAGTTACCCTTACAATTTTATTTTTATTTACTTTTTAATAGAAAGAAACTAAAGGAATGATCTCATTAAAAGTAATTCCCAATCAGCAAAGTCGTCTTCCTGCACTACAGGTAGGTGGCACCTTTTTCTCTGTTGAAAGTTTGATTATAAGTGATATGATTTTAACTTTTTTTTTTTTTGGTACTGGGGATTGAACCCAGGAGTGCTTAACCACTTTCCCCAACCCTTTTTTATATTTTATTTTGAGATAGGGTCTTTCTAAGTTGCTTAGATCCTTGCCAACTTGCTGAAACTGGCCTGGAACTCAATCCTCCTACCTCAGCCTCCCAAGTTGCTGGGATTATAGGTGTGCACTACCACACCTGGTGTGATTCTAACTTAAAGGTCTAAATATCTCAAAAGTATTAAGCTGCTTGTCTGAAGCTCTGTAAACTAAAATACATGAGCTCATTTACTTTTCCCGGAGGCACAAGACAGTGATGACAGTAGTAGAATATCAACCAGGCAGTGGCATGATCACAGCCTTACTCATGATCCTTTGTTGCCAGTGGTCAAGAATGAAGTGATCATTTATACAAGGAACACTACAAATACAATTGAACATGTGAAAAAATAATCATTTTATCTGTCATCAAAGAAATGCAAATTAAAATTTGTGTGATATGCCAGGTTTCACCAAGGAAATTGGAACATAAATATTTTTAAAAATAGTAATCATGAAGCCCAATGGTTAATAGTATCAAAGTAAAGGAGGAGATTCTTTTGAGCACTTATAAAAATTTGAGTCTATTGTACACAAATCACTGTGCTAGAATATGGGGTTGATATGAAGAGAAAATTTCTAAGAGAGTAGATTTTATTTAAAATTTTTTTATTTGTTCTAATTAGTTATACATGACAGTAGAATGTATTTTTAATTTTTTTTAGCTACACATGGACACAATATCTTTATTTTATTTATTTATATACAGTGCTGAGTATTGAACCCAGTGCCTCACACATGTGAGGCAAGAGCTCTACCACTGAGCCACAACCACAGCCCTCTCATCACATGTATCATATACAACCACAATAATGGGATCCTAAATGGAACAAGTTATATTTATTCTATGTATATATAATATGTCAATATGCACTCCACTGTCATATATATCTAGAAAGAACAAATTAAAAAAGAAAAGCAATTCTAAAATTTCTGTTGCAAATTACATATGATAGTATAATCATCTTTTAAGTCAATTTATTTATTTAAAAAATTTATAGTTGTAGGTGGACAGCATGCCTTTATTTACTTATTTATTTAAAGAGAGAGAGAGAATTTTTTAATATTTATTTTTCAGTTCTAAGCGGATACAGCATCTTTATTTTTACTTTTTATGTGGTGCTGAGGATGGAACCCAGCGCCCCACGCATGCCAGGCGAGCGCATTACCACTTGAGCCACATCCCCAGCCCAAGGTCAATTTACTTTTAACTGAAGCTTTGACATATGTGGGCATTATATAGAACACAGTGCACATATCAAAAGTGTAAAATTGGCTGAGCACAAGTTGTATCAACACCCAGCTCAAGAGATAGAATCTGCCCAGCAGCTACTAAGCTTCATGCCTCTTACCTCAAGGCTAACTACAACTGTGACTTCTAACACCAGAGACAGGTTTCACCCCTTTTTCAAATTTATATAAATTGAACTATATAGTAATAATTATTTTGTCTCATTTTTTCACTCAATGTCATGTTTGTGGGGGTCATCTAAGTTGCTTGTAGCAACATATGATTTATCCTCATTAATTCATTGTATGAATATACTACAATTACTCATCTATTGGCATTTTTGCTCTTATCTTATGAAATTCTGCCATGAGCCTTCCTGGGCATATGTTTTGGTGCACACATCTATGCCTTTCTGTTGGGGTAGAATTGCTGTGTTGTAGGGTACAAGTACATTCATCTTTAGATTATATTGACACATAATTGTCCAGAGTTATTATAATAATTTATATTCACAATTGCACTTGGATGACATTTCTAGTTGTTCCACATCCTCATCAAGACAGAATTATCTGGCTTTGTTTTTTTTTTTTTCCCCCGTTTGGCCATTCTGGTAGTGGTAGTATCACTTTTTATTTCAATTTGTATTTCTCTAATAACTAAGGAGGATAAGCTCCTTTTCATATGACGATTTTTTTCACTCACATATCCTCTTTTGAAAGGTACCACTTAAAGTCTTCTTCATACCAATTTGAAGGAGTCCCTTGTTTATTCTGTGTAAGAATCCTATGTAATATATATCCCAAACATGTTCTCTTCTTGTGTGGCTTGTTTTCTTACTTTCTTCGTGATGTTATTACTTACTAGAAACTTTTAATGAAACCCTCACTGCCACTTTTTTTCTTCTATGATTAGCCATTTTTATGTCTTATTTTAAAATATTTTGATTACAACAAGTTCAAGAAGATATTCTCCTGTTTTCTTCTAAAACCCATCTAGCATTAATTTTTGTGTAGTATGTTATAAGGAAAGAGGTAAAAAGTCTAGTTTTTCCATGTGGATATCAATGGAGTTGGAATTATTTATTGAAACAATTGTCCTGTTTCTATTATATGCACCATTACTTTTTTCATAAATCATGTTGTAGGTCTATTTGGAACTCTGTTATTTTCTGTTGGACTGTTTGTTTACCCCTGCATTAAATTCACATATCATATTGGGGAGAAGACACATCTTCACAATATCCTATAGAAGTGGTAAGAGCAGGCATCTTTGTTTATTTCTCAAGCAAGAGATGTTAAAATCTGAAATAAAACCATTAGCAAATCAAATCATAATAAATCACAAGCAATCAAATAGGCTCTAATTTCAGGTGGTTGTGTTAGTCTTATAAATGGGTTAGGAAGTACCATCATTTTCAATTATTTGTATTTGTATGAGACTACCCTTATTTCTTCAAATACTATTTGAAGAACTTACCAAAGAAGTCATCAGGTGAGTGTGTACATGCTAGCATGTTTGGGGGCAGGTGAGCAGAATTTTTAATAATGGATTCGAGTTCAAAGGATAGATTTATCAGTTCATACTTTCAATTTCCTGTTATGTCACTTTTGGTAAACTGCGTTTTGCAAGGAATTTTTGTCAAATGTATTAGTGAAAAATTGTTCATAATATCCTCTAATAACCTTTTTAATATCTCTAGGATCTCTACTGGTAAGTTGTATCTCATCTATTATATGAATTTCATTCATCTTTTGGAATAATCAATTTTGCCACAGTTGATCTTCTCAATGCTATTTTCCATTTAATTTCTTTTTGCTCTTCATTAGTTCTTTTCTTCTTTCATTGGGTTGGATCATTTTTGTTTAATGATATTCTCAGTTAACATCATTATCAGCAGCATTTTAAATGGCATTTAATCCTCTTCTAAAAATGGATTTTTACAGTTACGTGGTAATACATTTATTAGATAACCATATTTAACTAGTTCCCTATTCTTGGAAAATTAGGTTGTTTCCAATACTTCACTCTTAAAAATAATTCTGTGATGAGTGTGCTCATCCATACAACATTACTAAAAGTGCTGGTTTGTATCAGATAAATGCATAACCCTGTGGGACCAGAGGGTATCAACATTTGAAAACTTGGAACACATTCATATTACTAGACTGTCTTCTAGAAATGTTGTTCATTCCCTATTTACATACAGCAGAAATTTGGGCATACATGCTCTGATGCTGGTGTTTCTTGTTGGGTTGCCACCTGCAATTTCCTTTGACCTTTTTTTTCAGATGTTCATGAGAGCACAGTTTGACTATGATCCCAAAAAGGACAATCTGATCCCTTGCAAGGAGGCGGGGCTAAAGTTTGTCACAGGGGACATTATCCAGATCATCAACAAGGATGACAGCAACTGGTGGCAGGGACGGGTTGAAGGTTCCTCCAAGGAGTCAGCAGGGTTGATCCCTTCCCCTGAGTTGCAGGAATGGTGAGCCAATTTTGTGCAGGTGGGCTTTACAGATGGAAAGGGCATCTGCCTGCCACAAATAATTGCTTAGATTTAAAAATCTGTTGTGCTGTGTATAGTTTCTGTTCTGAGCAGACCTACTAGCTTCTCTGAAATAATGTGTGGAGCGGGGCATAATGAGCTCATAGGCTTGACTAACAGGTCATTCATTACAGGTAAAGGAGCTCTCCTTGAATGATTGTCCCACAGTAACAAAGTCCTCCCTTGTCTCCTGCCTCCCATATACCCCCCGTGTAATTTGTGGGAAGACTTCTGAGTTCTACAGTAAACAGTTTCATTTTAAGTATATGTTCTTTATGTAGATTACTGGTACATAGAAAAAATAATTCCTGTCCATGAGGCAGATTGCTCACATAGTGCTAGGTTATACCACATACAGAACGATCCACATCCATTGTCAACCCGCCTTTGCCTCTGCAAAATAAGTCCAGTTTAAAGATTACAATGCTAAGAGGTGTTTGTTTCATATACCAGTCTCTGAGTTTTAAGCCAGGTTTGGGTTGACCTTGTCTCCAGTGATGATACAGTGGAAGGGAAGTTATAAACATGGCACTAAACCACAGGATGTGCTTTGTAGAAATAAACAGCATTAAAGCAACAGAAGAAATGCAGTGCAAAACCTGGATGATATTGGTCAAAGCCTGGAGCAGGAACAAATGTGTCTTCTAGGCGTTTTTTGGAGCTAATACCTCACTAAGAACATTACAAGATCAGGAGCAGCAGAAGGCTGAGGAAGACCCAGGAGAATATGAGATAAAACTGTGGGCTACAATTTATTAATGAGGCATGAAATCAATTTAGTGAACTGCAACAAGTATTCCTTTTTATATATTAAATAGAAATATTAGTATATTACACATAAAAGGTATTGTTTCATGAAGCTGTTGTTTTGATTGTGTATGTAGTATGTATGCATGTGTATATTTTATTTACAAATGCATGTATGTGTAATATAGGGTTACAGTGGGCAGTTTATTTCTTATAGTGAGGTGGGTGCTGGGCCTAAGGCCCCTGCCTGATGCCACTCGCACTAATGCAGGGATGGCCACCCATGGTTCACATCAGAGGTGGAAAGAACCCAGCCAAAATAGTCAGGCTGCCTTAAGGGGAGCATGTGATAGAAGTTCATTTCCTCTTGGAAACATTTCCACATAAAAATTCCAGAGAGGATAGGGAATGGAGTACATGAGCCCTTGGGGGGGCGGGGTCATTGCTACATAAAGTTTTTTAGCCAGTACAAAGTGAAGGAAGTGAATCAGTTTGGAAGTTTAGTATAGAAAGAATAGTGTGTGTGTGTTGGGTGGGGGGGGGGTCACTCAGTCCCGAGGGTTTTACATTGAGGATCCATTGACCCTTTGGTCATTTATTCCTGCTAGGCGAGTGGCAAGTGTGGCTCAATCTGCTCCAAGTGAAGCCCCAAGCTGCAGTCCCTTTGGGAAGAAGAAGAAGTACAAAGACAAGTATCTTGCTAAGCACAGCTCAAGTAAGCTTTCCAAACTGCCTCACTCCTCCATGGTCCTGGCTGCACTAGGGTGTTTCCCAGGCTCTTTAGGCAGCAGAAAAAAGGAGATGTTGCAGTGTGCAGTGGAATATACATTAAACAGAAAGTCTGCCATTTCTTCTGGTTTTCTCTTACTCATTTCATCTTCGCAAGCTCATTGCAATCAGACAGACAATGATAATAGATATAAAAGAACACTAGTGTTTTCCCTCACCTGCTCATTGCCTCAGGTAATGAACTGAACAGATTTCTAGCATCAACACCTTCAGCAATGTCTGAGAATCCCCAGAATATAGCGTTTTTTCCTGAGAACTAATATTGGCTTTTTTTTTTTAACCTATCATGGTTGGAAATATAACAAGGTCATCCCTTAGTATTTATGGGGGATTGGTTTGGGCACCCCCACAGAAACCAAAGTTCTCTGATGCCTAAGTTACTTACATAAAAACGGTGTTGTGTTTGCATAGAACCTATGCAATCCTCCCATATACATTAAGTCATGTCTAGATTTCTTGTAATACCTAATATAATATAAATGGTATGAAAATAGATGCATACTGTATTGTTTAGGGAATAATCACAAGAGGCTGTACGTGTTCAATACAGACACATTGTTTCCAATATTTTCAGTCTGTAGTTGGTTGATGCCAATGATGCACAACCCATGAAGATGGAGGACCAACTGTATATTTAGATAATAAATGGGTTCAAGCAAACTGCTGATAAAAAATAAGTAATAGTCTAAAAACATTTACCTACCATTTATTAAAGGTGTCTATTCTGTGTTAGGATACTCCCATTAGAACAATCCATAGAACCTGAAGCAGATATGGTCAGGGCATCAATTTTGGGGAGGTAGAGGGATGGAGAGTTGGAATAAGAGCTTCCATCTTTCTGAGCTAACCTTTCTAGTTGGCTTTCCTGACCCCTTCTCCAATACAGATATGTTCCTCCCCACCAACCTCCTTGGCCTCATCTCTTTCCTTGCTTGTCAGCTATGGAAATGAATCTTGCTTGGTTTTTTGTCTCTAGTTTTTGACCAGTTGGATGTTGTTTCCTATGAGGAAGTTGTTCGGCTCCCCGCCTTCAAGAGGAAGACCCTGGTGCTGATCGGTATCTTCTCATTGCCCTGCACTGCTTTGCTTGCTCAGGAGCACATTTCTCTTATTTCCCTGCCTACTTTATGTACCCACCCCAAAAAAGGCAGTGAGGAAGAAATGGAGTGAGGTCTCTTGGGTTCTCCATATAGGGAAGGTATAAAGAACTTTTGGGGTCCTTAAAAATACTCCATCTGGGTCCACCTCACAAGTGAAAGTAAACCTTACAAGTTGGCTTATGTTCATTTGTTTTTACTATTTAAAACTGATTCTTTTAGATTGAGTTTGTTCCTAAACTTCTTTGTCCATCCATCTGGCAGGCAGTAGTGGTGCACCAGTGATACACTTTTTTGGTTAAGTGCATGTTATAGCACTTTGATAGCATAGTGGGGGCCCTTAAATTACTCTGAGGTGTGTAGTCATCCACATAAGCCCTGGGAGCTCCCTTGTCTCAAGTGACTCTGAATCAAAACAGAATGAGCCCTTACTCCAAACCCAGGTATGAGGGCTTGGGTAGATGACCTTCCTATTCTTACAGTTGAAACATTAATTGGTTAGAGGATCTGTATTAGAATTCTGGTGAAATTCTCAGTAAAACCACTGGCTTAAAATCCATTCCATTAATTTTGGAAAACTCAGGAAAGTAAATACACTTATAAAAGTAAACAGAAAAACTCACTTTAGTTGGTTCCTCTGCGGAACCATGTTCTGAGTCCTCCCCCAAATGACATGAAACCTCTTTGTGGTCTCAAATTTTCTAACAGCTCAAAGACCCTGAGCCCAGCCCACATGGAACATCAACTCATTTTTCACTTGCTGGCAATTTTTTTTGGCTGGGGGAAGGGTACTGGGGATTGAACCCAGGGGCACTTAATCACTGAGCTCCATCCCCAGCCCTTTTCATTTTTTTATTTTGAAAGAGCGTCTCACTTAGTTGCTTAGGACCTTGCAAAGTTGCTGAGGCTGGCCTCCTACTTGGCATCTCTTGTCTCAGTCTCCCAAGTTGCTGGAATTACAGGTGTGCACCACTGCACCTAACACCTGTTGGCAATTTTGAGCACTGAGAGATGAAAATCCATGTCCCATCCTCACTCCCATCCCAGCTTTTGTCTTTGGGGGAAAGTGATGGAAGCCTTTCTTCTTTCTCCATGCAGGAGCCAGTGGGGTAGGTCGCAGCCACATTAAGAATGCCCTGCTAAGCCAAAATCCAGAGAAGTTTGTGTACCCTGCCCCATGTAAGTAGCTCTTGGGCATCTTGAAGGGAAGCAAAAGCCTGAAGGACAGGCATCTGTATTGCATATTATCACATTTAACACAGTTCTCTGAAATGCTTTGCAGCCATTTTTGTTATTTTTTTATTATAAAAACTAAAAATTTGGAAAGACAAAAACTTGTGCCTGCAATTGCTGCAGCTCACAAACATAAATTGTTTTCTTATTGTTCTATTTTACATAACAGAAGCTGAGGTCAACATTTTTATTCTGCTTTAAAAAAATTAAGCAAGAATTAAATTTATATGTATTACTTTTTCATTTTACTATATAAACAATTTCTCATGGTCCTCTAATTCACTTTGAGAACTATTTCATAGTCAATTGATGTACTATAATTTGTATAATAATTTACTTGATTATGTCACTGTAGTTTGACATTTAGACTGCCTCTAATTCTCATGAAATGTCTTCTGAATCAAAGCAGTGTTTAGGATACTCCTGAACAATCATGGTAGCAGTCTTAGATATGGAGAATAGGGCCAGCAGTCAAATGCACAGAGAACTCTTTCATATCAAGAAGTGAATCTACACAGTACAGTTGTGTATATTCCCAGAAAGAGATACTGCTTAGAAAACCATATTGTGAATCTGATTTTTTTTTCCATCGTTTATGTCTCCCTTTTGCCTTTTTACTCATGAATCAACGAGTTGTCCAGAGGGAGACTCATTCTGGTGACATATTCAGAACAGAAAGCAGATGGCCCTGAGTCAAGGAGTGAGTGGAACAAGTCTGGAAGTAGAAATAATCATTATGGGCTCCTTATAAGTTTGAGTAAGAAGGGAGTTAGAGTTGTTTTGCTTAATGGCAAGAGTTTTTAAGAAGTTGTGGGTTGAGAGGAAGGAGCCAGTTGAGAGAGAAAAGGGGGATGGTGTGGAAGGCAAAGGAGATGTTCAATGGGAAGTTGTTTGAAGCTACAATATCTGGAGCATGTTTTACTTACTAGAAAATTTATATTAGTAATAGATGTGTCTCTTAATCACATTTTAACTTTTTAACAATGTGAGTTTAAACCAACCTGAAGTGCTCTTCTTTCCAGGTCATAAAAGAGTATATTTCCAAGAAATCCTGACCAGAGCCCATAGATCCACATTTAAAATATTTTCATTTGCCATTTCTTCATTTTCAAGTTTCAGTATCCCTGGATTTGGTCATTTGAGATATGTAACTTCATATAGGGAAAATGAAAGAAAATTTTTTCATTAGGTTTTGCCTTTTAAAAATCAAATATGCTATAGGCAGATGGGGTGATTCCTGGTCTGCACTGCCTTCTAGCTCAGGCAGAGTTTCTATACAGACATGATAGGCCAAGCCATTAAGAAATGGCAAGGACCCAGAGCTCATCAGGGATTTTTGGTCCTTGCACACAGATACAACAAGGCCACCAAGGAAGAGTGAGGAAGATGGAAAAGAGTACCACTTCATTTCAACAGAGGAGATGACAAGAAACATCTCTGCCAATGAGTTCTTGGAGTTTGGCAGCTACCAGGGCAACATGTTTGGAACCAAATTTGAAACAGTGCATCAGATTCATAAGCAGGACAAGATTGCCATCCTTGACATTGAGCCCCAGGTAGGTAGCCATAGAAACTCAAGAGTGATGGGTTTAGTCATGCAAGGGATGAAGACGGGGATGATGAAAAGCATTGTTCCTGGGAATCTTCTGGGAGCTGAGTTGCTTCATATACTTTAAGTGGGGTCAGCCTGGAACAAGACTAGTAGTACTGGAAATGACAGAAAATAGTATTGGGGTTGCTTATGAAAAGGAATCCACTGTGACAGCTTTTTTCTTTCCTTTTCCTCCTTTTCTTTCTAGACCCTGAAGATTGTTCGAACAGCAGAACTTTCACCTTTCATTGTGTTCATTGCACCTACTGACCAGGGTGCTCAGGTGGGAAGAGGTTGTTCAATATTGGTAGGGTTCAGTCTGGGTACTTCTATCCATTAGGCCATAACTCAGGTGACAGAGGCAAATGAGATAGGGTCATTGTTGTTGAGACATATGGATGGAGTGGCAGGTCCTGACATTGGTGTGGTATGAGCTTTGGTAGGGCAAGCAGAGGGAGCTGTGAAGAATATAAGTGGTACTGAACCTATCCTGGGGTACAGCATGGCCATGGGGAAAGAGAGGCCTATGAGAATGTTTCCCTTTGCTTATAGAATTTTGTCAAACTTTTCATTTTTTGCCAATCGAATAGAGGTAGAAATGTATTTCATACTTTTTATCTGGCCACATCCTTAGCTCATTTACCCATTGGGTTATTGGCCTTTTTCTTACCATTTCCAGGAACTCTATATTAGAGTTATTGGTCCTTTGTGATAACAGTCACATTCATTTGCACTTTTCTGTAGTTTAATGACCAGTGTTTTCATGGTGATTTGATCTGGGACCAAAAAAAAAAAAAAAAGTCCTCTATGATTTTAGGACACATTTATCTTTGCCCTGGGATTACAACTCTTAGTTGTTGCTGAAATGGCTCTGCAGCACACTAAAGGGCATTAACTGGGAGATACTGATGAAATCCATGCTATGAACAGCTACTATTGATCTTCCAAAGGGCTTTGATTATTTATAATCAGGGTTACCTTGAGATCCTGTGAGATGTGCAAGTGTTCTTAATTGACTGCCTCAGGCAATTAATATCTTCTGAGTTTGAGCCTTCACATAGTTGGATAGGGAGAACTGGGGTTATAGCTCACTGGTAAAGCATGCAGAGAGTCCGGGGTTCAACCCCCAGCATCATGCCAAAAACAAAACAAAAACAGGTGATAGGGAACTGGACAATACTAACAGAAATCAATGCCTGCTTAAAACCTCACCTTGGCCTGAGCCCGGGATGCTTCAGCCATTACTCTTTGTTGTTTACAGACGGAAGCCCTCCAGCAGCTACAGAAGGATTCTGAGGCCATCCGCAGCCAGTACGCTCACTATTTTGATCTCTCATTGGTCAATAATGACGTTGATGAAACCCTTAAGAAACTGCAAGAAGCCTTTGACCAGGCATGCAGTTCTCCACAATGGGTGCCTGTCTCCTGGGTTTACTAAGCTTGCAAAACAGGGAGGACCCACTGTATGCCTCTCCCCAGCAGCTGGGACTCCCATTCCCCTTGCTTTTAAGATAAACAGGGCTACTTGTCAACTAGTTCTGTGTTTGCTTCCAGCTCTCTGCAATTGTCCTAAATAGGCCAATAGAATCCACTGCTCTTGCTCAGGTTCCTGAAGGGCTAGGGTTTGGACAGATGGGGTCCTATTGATCTGGATTTCAAAAGGATCCCTGGAATTGGGAATAATAAGTATCATCAAAATGCAAGTGCTAAGCAAAGATGATTCACAAAATAGCAACAGACCCTGTCCTCTTAAGTCTGAGCTCCTTCACCTTCAAATACACTAGGCATCTTTTCTTTTTAGAGAAAATATCTTCTGCAACTATTTCTAAAATGCCAAAAATGAAAGAGCTGTACAAAACAATGTCTGCTCTAGGAGAATCCTCAAAAGCAATAAAAATATTGCTGTTAAAATGCCAATGATCTCTCTGGGTTTTCCATTTGCATCACAGACCTCTTAGAAAGGGAAGTATCTCCAGCTTCGTTTCAACTCCTAGGCAACTTTATCAATGTAAGATGCCTCTCACGTCTAGATGCAGTTTAAAATTAACAGAAGTTCCCTACCAGAAAACAGTGCCTGCATGACAGGTCTCCAGGGTCTCGTACCCACACAAAACACCTTAAAGCTCTTGAGTAGGATCTCATTTAAAGCTTCCTGCCAAGTCTCCTATAGGGAAAAAAACTGAGGATGGGGTCCCAGCTGTGCAGCTTGGGGAAGCAGACGCTCAGATGAGCTGGTGCCAGAGTATGTTTTTCATATCTGGTTAGAGCTTAGGGGTTCCCCTTTTTGCATGCCAAAACTCTCCCACAAAGTGTTGCTTGTATTTTCTTGGTTTGGGGCACCAAATTGGAAGCAATCCTAGACCTTGCCAGAGTCTTATGTCCCCAAGGCCTTCAGGTTCCTGCCCACTCACCAGCACTAGAACTGATAACACTAGCAGGCTCCAACCAGTAAGTTAGGAGTCCATGTGTCTGCAGGTACAAATAGCACCCCCAGGACATAGTTCCACCCCGGGGACACTATGTAACAAATCTACTTTTCTCCTCAGTGCTTTTGAACAAAATATTGGATTTATGGCCCTTCCTCAAGAGTATTTTATCCTATTAGATAGGCCTCAAGGTGAATGTTCTATAGAAATGTAAAACTAACAAAGGAAAAGAAAATTTTACACAGGACACTAAAGTCCCCAGATTTTTAATCAAAACATTTTATATTTTTTTTGTTATGCCAGTTTGAGATTACTAACAATTATAAAATCCAACAGGAATACTTTAGAAATGCCATGAGTCAACTTTAATATGTAAAAATTACAACACTCTTCTCCCAGCAATAAGCAAGTCCATTCTTCAAATGTAAATGAGGGTTTATAACATGAGGGTACAGAAAAAGTTGTTTCTGCCGCAAACACAAGTAGCCAGATGGATTTGGGTAAATGCTGCTGTACACACAAGCACTAGACGAGTACACAAAGGACTGACAGCTAGGCCAGAAACAAGATGGCCTGTGAGGCCCATACCCAACACCAGAATAGACCACTGTTCTTAAAGGCCATTGGAGACAAGATTTCCCCAGTGAACAAGTTGGTTCAGTTACTCTTTAATTTATCAAGAGTTCTACGCCGTTTCATTGAGCAGACTTAATTTTTACAAACTTTTTGAACAGAGAAAGTTAAAAAAAAAAAACAGAATAAAGTAGGAGAGAACTATAATGTTAAAAATGGTCATTAATAAACAGATCCAGACAATTACTGGACAGTTCTAGGTCTGAAACTGAGGCTTCCCAACTCAAGCAAGGATAGAAGTCAATGGCATACAATCTGTCTTTTTTTTATCCACCCACATCCTTAAAACAGGACAAGATGGGATGACCACAACAGGTAGTATCACTGAGGTTTCAAGTAGCAGCTAAAATGTGCCAGAACTCTCCACCCTGTCCAGAACCTTTGTTCTACTCCCTCAAAACAAAAGAAACTGTTTTCTCAATAAGGCTTTCATCTCTCCCACCAGCTGGGCACAAGGCTTAATGTCACCTTCACTACTCAGACATCACTTCCACCACTTTTGCTTTCTTCTTCTTCTTCTTCTTCTTCTTTGTGGTGTCACTGTCCTGGAGAGATGAGAAACAAGCTTACAGCATCCATTGCAAAACAATTATGACTCCCCACAAAGAAAATCTGATAAATTCCACATAGGTTTGTAACCCTTTTCAGGACTTGTAAGGACCTTCTGGGATAAATTTTGCATGTGAGCTGATGTCTGTGACATCCTAATGGTCTACTTTTGTAAGCTGAAACATTCAGATGATAAAGGTATAAATCCTTCCTACCCATTGTCAACAGAATTTGAACTGGGCCCATTAATATAGTATGTCCCCATGTTCATCCCATGAGAGTGGACAAAGCACTCCAGAACACAGGGAAGCACTAAAGGTAAGAGATCAAGGTAACATCCCATCCTTGTGTTATAGCTTCAAGAGTAATGAAGCCAGCACCACCTAATTCTTTCCCTAGCCAAGGACTAAGCTAGCCCAAGGAATCCAACTGCTTATACATACCCCATCTCCAGGCTCGCCCCCATGCTCTAATGCAGCTTTGGCCTTTTTATCTTTCTTATTCTTCTTCTTTTCCTTCTTGATCAACTGGGGAGCTGCTGGAGGGTTCTCATCACTTTCACTCTCACTCTCTCGCTTCCGCTAAAATGAAAATGATTGGTTGAAAGTTAGATCTTTGTTAGTTACAGACAAGAAAAATTCAGTACATCCAAAAGTCTTAAGAACCCAACTAGACCCAACAGTAAGTAAAGCTGTGGGACACAACAGGAGTACCACAGTCGCAGCATGGGGTTTAGGGACTAGAAGGCCCTGAGAAGTCATTTGTCTCACAGGTGGACTACAGGACCTAAGAGTGGTCCCTAAATTCTTACAGAATGTAGGCAAAGTTGGAATTCACATCTGACAAGTGAGAAGTTCTGCCAACAGTTTATAAGTCACTAAGTATCACCCAAGTTGCCACCATTTACTTTACTTTCACCCTTTAAACACTGGACTGCTGCTGGCTAGTCTCATTCTCCTCACAGCAGACACACAGGGAACATGAATCAGAGAAGCCCACAGAGCCCAAACCAGGCCCCCAAGGCAAATATGGGACATTATCTGTGTATGCACTGCAGCTAGGATGAGGATGAGAAGCTGAAATGAGCGTAAGATTGGTGCTTAGAATTATCTCCTGAAGCACATTTCCAACAGACCACGGCATGCTACTCACCTTTGGGACTTTTACAGCTTCAGAAACTACCTGTGGGGCTTTTACCACTTCAGCAACTAAAGGTGTAGTTTTTAATACTTCAGCAACCACCTCTCTTTTGCCAGAATCACTGAAATAGAAGAAGCAGTAATAAGTCAAATTGGCTGAGCAGCTTTCCACAGCAGTTCTGCTATATTCTGAGTTATTCAGCAATACTGGGTAAGCCCAAAACCACCAAAAACATACTAACTCTGGACAGAATTCACCAGTTACTATTACAGACTTACTCCCTCGAGAGTCAAACGACCAGATTAGAAAGAACTGTGTGCTATACAGGCCTGAGCCCTTACCTGGCCCAGGCAGCCAAGGTTTCACAGAACCCAGCGAAGAAAACTGAACTGAAGCACTGGGTCCTATAGTTGGGCACTTAGCACATTTGCTCAAAATAAAATTACTCTCACTCTCTACCAAGGATCTGCAACCTCTTATCCTCATCTGTCATCAATGTCCAAATGAAAACTTTCCTGTCTCTACCCAGTCCCTGAAACATCTTACCCTCACCTGTAGTCAATGTACTCCTGCTTCCAGGTGGCAGGAGTGTTATCTGTGGGTTTGCCATGCTTGTCCAGAAGACCCTGCTTGATCATTAGCTTCTTCTGACTTGCCTGGTAGTACATTGGGGTTAAAATTAGAATGGTGTATCAATGCAAAAAATAGACATTGTGACTGCACACTATATCCTTAGACATACCCTGCTTACACAGAATGGCATAACATTTCTCCCTTGTGTATCCTAAGAAGAGCATCCCCCTCCTCTGCAGAATTGTCCTCAATTGTTCCCTCCCCTCTTCACCTCACCAATACCTAACCCATCCACCCTTCACACTGCTTTAAAAGAAAATCCCTTGCCCAGATTCCCTGACCCAGATAAACTCCTCACTGTGGATTCCCCAACCCTGGGGACCACTCTGACCTTTTTTTTTTTTTGGTATCAGGGATTGAACACAGGAGCACTTAACAACTGAGCCACATCCCCAGCCCTATTTTGTATTTTATTTAGAGACAGGGTCTCAATGAGTTGCTTAGTGCCTCGCTTTTGCTGAGGCTGGTTTTGAACCCGTGATCCTCCTGCCTCAGCCTCCTGAGCCACTGGGATTAAAGGTGTGCACCACTGCACCCAGCATCTCTGCACGTCTAACAGCCATTAACTTGGCTAAAATTCAGCATCCTGCTATGTATGTATTTAAGAAATGCCCAACTGTTTTGCCCCATGAGGCCACAAATCTTTGAGGTCTACGATGCAGCCTGACTCTGTTCACTGTCAACAATCCAACACGATGCAAGGCTACAGTAGTAAGGACACACCAAGATTTATAAGAGCAGGTACTAAACAGTAACACAAAGCAAAATAACCCAGCAAGGCCTAAAACCCAGTCCTATTTACCTTTGGACCCAAACCCCACTTCCGAGGGTAGGTGTCTCTCTCCATAATCACTCTCTTGATCTTTGCTACTATACCATGGTCACAGGTAGAGATCACTGCTGTGGTCATCAACGCAATAGCTGTAGGCATTGGAAATAAAAGAATGATTTAAAGGGGAAGGGCTTGATAATTAATGAATCCCAATTCTACTGCTTCATGACTTTTAAAACCCCACTTACAGCCCTGAGATCTACCACCTCAACAGGGGTTTCCTTTGCTTAGACTGTGAATATGGAGAAAAATCCTCCATTATAGGAAGAAAGCTTCTGAAATGATGCTAACTTTACCAATTTAAAGACACCTAACCAAAGCAAGTGGATACACATGGCAGGTTTGTGGCTTAGGACATGTATAGGCTTGGCACACATGTCCCCTAAGGGCCATGGAATGTTACAAGAAAATGGATCCCAGCAACTTCAATCTGTGGGATTGAAGCCTTCTATGACTGCCTCACCTGCTCACAGAGTGAGTTGACATGCTTTGTTTACTTCTAGTATAAATTAGAACTATTAAATGAATAGTCTGACTCACTCATTAAGAGGGGCACAGGGTATTTAAAGTCATAAGGAGTGACCAAATAGTAGCGAAACTTTCATAAATTAAAAAAAAAAAAAGTTACTTATTAAGCTACCTGCAAGCAGACAAGGAGCAAAATAAAGGATCTTTATTTTTGATTACCACAGACAACCACAACC